TATTTGTGCGATTTGTCAAACGTTTGACAAAACCTATAGTAAGTTAATAAATATCATAATTTTTTATACAGTGCAACCTCTCTGGGGGGGGGGGGAATACCTCCTATAAAGAAACGGATTTTAAACATATTTTGGGGTTTCTATACCTATAACAGAACCTCCCTTGGAGGAACCCTCTCTATAGGGAACACTTTTGTCGTGCATCTGGCCGTTTCTTATTGAGAAGTTGCACTGCATAACCATGCTGTTATTCAATTTTATTCGAATTATTATTGAAAATGTAGCAAATATAAACTCGTATGAAATGCAACCTGGACCTAATGATGTTAAAAATGATCGTTATAGATTCAAAGAAGTAATGTTTAGGGACAATTATAAAATGTATTATATATACAGTGTTTATAATTATTGTAAGTCAATATTTTCAATTATTATTATATTGTAAAAAATCTAGTTTTATGATTATACAGTATAATTAGCATTAAATAAATAATTATAATATAGTTTATATTTTATTTTAGATCCTTACAATTCAAAGCAACATATTATAGCAAATATAATAAAATTATTTGAATCAAAATCTCGATATTTGCTTCAAATTTATAACTCTTGGATTCAAAATAACGATTTTTACATTCAAATGGAGTTTTGTTCGCAAACTCTATGGGATATCATAAATGCAAAACACGTGATATTTGGGACACAAACCCATCACTCGTTGGCAATCATTTCAATTGATTTCCTTATTTCACAGCAATTGTTGAGACAATTATTACATTGTATTCAAGAATTGAATTTTTTGGATATTAATATTGCAAACATTTCACTTAATACTAAACATATTTTTATAGTGAATGATAATCTAAAAAGTGATAATTATATGAAATTTTATTGCAATGAATATAGAAATATTGGTGAAAATAAAGACTATTCAATAACATTCATCATTAGAGATATTGCCGACAAATTGTTTGAAATACAATTAAAATATTTTAAGTTAGTTATAAAATTATTTACCTATATTGTACATAAATTTCATATAGCTAATTTATACTTTATTGATTTAATTATAGTGACATTATTTACAAATCATATATTTTGAATAATTTTGATGTTAATATCAATCAAATTCAAGCATTTATTAATGGATTACTCGAGGGATCAGAAAAGAGGACACGAGATATAATAGATATAATGAATGAATTCAATGATATTTTTGGTGAAAATTCAAAAACAATAAACACTAATATAATCGCTGAAATGGAAAATGAATATTTGTCACAAATTCCTGTATTAAACGCAAAATCAATTCATTATAAATGTATCTATAATTTTATCAAAGATATATTTAAACAACAAAGTTCATTACTCAAATGCTCAGACATTGAGTACAATGGCGATCCGTTTAAACAATTAGCACAATACAATCCAAGCGAAGCACCATGGCCGTTTTCGAACGAAATTCAACTTACATTACTTACGAACGCATCCATGCATTTACAACTAGACGCCAAACCCAGGGGTCGGGCCGTAATATTGGTCACAATACCTGAGTTGGCCAATGAGGCCGAACGGTTCAGATCGATCTTCACACAATTACTATTTAAACCAGAAGTATATACGCTAATAACGCGAGACGAGATTATAGCGACTTTGACCGAGGTGGCCAATACAGACTGTTACCATGGTGACGCGTTTATCATGATGTTTATCGGAAATGGATATAACGAGAATATAATAGGCTATCGACGTCCCGCAGACAATGAATGGCCGCCAGAGGAATGCAATCTTATGCCCATTAGTGAAATAGTGGCCACATTTAGCTGGACTCGTGCGCCAGCACTGCGCCAAAAGAGCAAGGTGCTTATTTTCAACTGCGAACGCACAAGTATGTCTGTCACATAAATTACATGAATATATTCAACAAAAATTTCCCAACAGAAATTGATTCGGAAATGTACACTAAAATCGTAAGAAATCGTGATTTTTGGGTGAATTCTGATAAGTGTGATTTGGGTCCTAACGAACCGCCATTAGTTGATAAAATGATCATGCTTGATTCACAATTTAACACGCACAATGAACAAATTCATGTTATATACTCTTGTCGTGAGGGTAAGTTTTGAATGCTATTTATCATTGTGCAATTTATTTTGATCAATAACTTAGGATTAGTGTAATAAAATATTTGTAATTATTTGTTGAATTAATTTTGACCAGGATACGAGTCGTGGTACTCGCCTGTTAACGGTCCCATTGGTTACGTAACCCGTTTCGGTCAAACACTGAGTCATACAATAGCGCAGTACTCGGCGTACACAAGCCTACGGGAGATGTTTGTAATGGTTGTAATGTTTTTAAAATATTTAATTGAATTGTTTTATAAATAATTTGTTTGTATTTTTCAGACATTAAACCGTATGAAAGACGACTGTTTTAACAAATTTTTGTGGCAATTGCCTGATATCGAAATGTTCGGAGTGACCAAGGAGCTTTGTTTTTACCTTGACTCATCCATAACTAATCCTGGTTGTGAAGAGTGTTTACAACAAATATAATAAATTTCTAAACTATATAATTGTATTTAAAACCAACATATATTTTAATATTATAATGTAAATTTTATATAATTTAAATAAAAACAAGGATCACACAGCGATGCAATATTTGAGACCTGCATTTAGACCCTGATCATTTTGCAGACCCCTATGAATTTAAACGGGAACGGTTTCTACCGGATAATCTAGATAACATCAAACCGTATACATACCTACCCTTTGCCACCGGCCCTCGCAATTGCATTGGCAGTCGTTTTGCTGTATTAGAGCTCAAGTATACGTTAGTTAAGCTGTTGTGTAGGTATGAGTTTGTGGCCTGCGATGAGACCAAGGTTAGTTTATAATTTTGTTTTGTAGTTATTCACGTTTAAATAATTGTTATTTGATTATTAACTCATCAGGAAATGGACTATTACAATCTATTGATACAAATAGCCAGTGTTTAACGCATGATGGTCAAGATCAAGCACCGTGATGAATTTACTAATAATTTTTAATTTATTATATTACGATATTTTTGTAATTACAAATAAATTAAATACTTTTCTATTTGATTATATTAATCATTAATAAACATTAAATTTGATTGTCATATTACTAAGCATTTTATTTAATTAAATTATATGCTTGCGTGATGTCCGGCCGTTTTGGTCACTAAATTGTCGTATAATTATATGACCTGTCGGTCGACTATTTTATTCATACAAAACGGTTAACGCATTTGTAATAATAAATAATTCAATGGACCCGCACTTACCGGACATAACCATCATTAATGAGTAAAGTCTACTTTCATCTGCCGATCATAACAAGCAATGCCTTCTTTCATCCCTATCAGCGCAATGCCGACCAGACATAAAAAACTTTCCGGTGTTTAACTTTACAAACAAGTAAGTATAAAGTTTTGTAAGTTTAAAGCATCTATTGAGATGAGTGTAGCCGTCGGGAAGGGGCAAATGATCTTATAAACTACATGATTTAAAGCTGAATTGTGATTAAAAATAATGATTACACTTTTGGTAGACATACGAGCGATGACATGGCGTGCGTCACGAACTGAGATTTTATTAAATGAAATTAATTATATTTACATTATTTATGTTATTATTACAGCCATATTAATTGTTAATCTAGCATATTGCAAGCAAGGTTGTATCTTCATAGTCGATGTCATTGCATTCACATTTACTATGAAGCTAATACCTTGCTTACAGTATGCAATGCTAGATTAAAAATCAATATATAAAAATCAATAACATAATTAAATGTAAATATAATATATTATAATTAAATTTATGTTATTCCACTAATTAAAAGCGGACCTTCATTTAAATAAGATAAATGTATGTTTTAGTTTGAATTTCAGAAATCAAGAAATTATATTCTATCAAGCATAATACATTTTAATTTGAATTTAAAATCTTATTCAAAATGTTGTCCACAACGTTGGTAATAAATATATTATTGAAAACATTACTTATGTGTGGATTTCTATACCAAACTTATAAAATAAGTTTAATATACTTCTCATATGAAAAAAGTACCAATGTCATGTTTAGCGATGTGTTGAGTGTACCGGCGCTCACACTATGCATGCAAACCAAAGACCTGATACGACCGGAGGTAAAGTCTAAATACTTTAACACACATGGTACTTTTATACGACAGGTATTCGCCAACCAGTCTATGAATAATCAAATGAACGAGCTCATGGACTCTGATGATTTATTTATGTGTTTAATCATGTACAAAAACATTAACTATGTTAATTGCGCTAAGGCGCGGTATCGCCGGTCGCTAACTTCACTGAATACTCACTTTTGTTTGACAGTATTGTATCAATGGGTGGGCAGTGACCCGAATGAACGTGGCCCGACCCAATTCCGGGAACGTAAAGGCGATTTGGCCCTATTAATTAGTATGAAAAATAAATCAATGATCCATGAGCTAAGTATTCACGTGCATTCACACCAAGAAAGATTACGAGCCATTGACCGCAAGGGTAATTGGGTGGGCGATCCAAATAGTTATACCTCGTTAAAAATTTCTTACCGGTTATATACCGTCACATTAAATCACATGGTAAATAGCGATAAATGTTTAAAAGGCCAAACACTGGATAAGTGCGTAATGCGATGCATGATTCGCCAAATTGACCATGAAAAGGATTGTTTTTCTCATAACACGCTACATTACCAAGATGATGATGGCTTTAATGAGCGCAACCATTTTTATGTTAACGATTCAGTTAAGTGTCTAATGATGTTTCATTATGAATTACCTTGCTTAAATGAATGCAATGAAATCGAGTGCATTAAAAACTATTATATCCCTCAATACCACGTGGGAAATAAATCACAGCAAAAGTCGTATTTTAGTATTAACTTAAATTTCCCGACAGAACCCGATATGATAAATGAGATATCATTGAAATTATCATTTGAAGAGTACGTGGTATATATGGGATCACTTGTGGGCCTATGGTTTGGCGTATCAATCGTTATGTTAACTAATTTATTCACACAATTGTTCAACAAATATAAAATTAATTTTTGCAAAAAGAAAACCATTATTGTCGTTAATAATAATCCAAACGTATTGAATTTAAACATCACAAATCATCCGCATTTAACACGTGGTAATTCTATTCAACCATGTGTTTCGCGTTTTAACAAACATAATATTCCGCGACACAGACTACTATTGCCTAACAGTATGATTGCCGATAGTGTTGTATAAACTGTGTTTCACCGCATAATGTAATATCTAATTTAATTATAATATCCAATATATTCATTGCAATAAAACTATTCATAAAAATAAATGAATTTTAAAATAAAAGTAAGATTAAAATAACATAATTATTTTTTGAATTGATAAAAACAAATATAATAATAAGCACATGATTCCTAAAAGTACCTGTATTAAAAATAGTTTATAATCCAAAGATTATAATCAAAGAAAACACACATATTTATAAAAAGTTTCATTCAATATTGTAAAAGATATGTATTCATTCCCTGATTAGTGAACAATAAAGTAATACTTTATATTTATTGCATTTATTACAATTAACAAGGAGGTACGTTAGGGGGTGGGGGGACATTGTCACCAGTGCTATATTCTCTACTGTATTGAAAACATTCAAAACGTTGAAACCAATAACCAGTAATTAGTGGCGGCGATAAAAATAAATTGATAGCATTCATAGCTATTGATGGGAAACAGATCGTAACAATAGAAACCAATTGTGGGTCCGATTGACAAACGCTCCGCAAATCTCTGCACTTTTAGCCGATCCCTAACCGTAAGTGCGGTCCGCGGGTCAGCCCATTGGCGGCACAAATACGATAACAACCGGGTCGACGGCTTGTGGGCTGATTTAGCGATCAAGATTAACTTTATGCCCAATGGTGCCAGGCACAATGTATCAAGAATCATACAAAACCACGCGCCAACTCTACCAAGTAATAATGAATTGGGTTTATCTATTAGGTAAAAACAAATCTCGATAGCGGCGACGGCAAAAAAGTAAGCAACGTATATAATTGACCGTAACACACTGTTGATATCCCGTGTCTGTTTCTCCCAGTAGTTATGCTCGCGAACTGTGGCCATTAAATTAGCTCGATTATGGTACATTATGTTCAACGCAAATTTCATATTTATCTCGTTGAATTTTAAATGTAAATAATCTGTTACTATTAGGACTATTGTTATAATGGTAATGATAATAATCAATATTTCCATCAAAGCTATAGCAGAAAATATCATTAAACCAATAGTGAACAGCGCTTTTGTCGTACTATACGATCGGTATAAATCAATAGCAAAAAGCAAAAGTGCCACGATAATTCCTACTATTAGCATAATCTTGAATACTTTACCCATAGCTTTTGTGATTATTGCCAACTTAAGGCTTATACGCTTAACATCGCGGGTATTCAATGGATATAATAACTGACCTTGCTTTACTTGATTGATAAAACGGGCAATGGTTAATGTGTTATTTTGTTCATGATATAATATTATCCATTCAGCCAAAATAAACGATACCAAACAAATACACGTAAACGTACCTCCCAACAATTTATTACCAAGATACTCGTCGACATCAATCATCATGTACTTTACTGTCGGGTTTGTGCTATATGTCAATGATATCCAATACAATAAACATAAGATCATGCTGATTTTGACAATGATATATTTGAACAATCGCCATGATGTATAAATGCCGAGCATTACATCATCGATAGTTTCGCCTAAACAAACATAACCATATTTCATATAAATCTCGATCTTGGTGATTTTGGTGCCAATATCATCGCATGGGCCAATGAACTTGTTTATAAAATTGATCATGTGTATTTTGCAATGTATTTTGCAGTTATGATATAGTTCAATATATAAATCCATGACTTAATTACTGTATATTGGATCTGATATATTGAAAAGCATTTCACTAAATAGTTATATGTTTATGGGTTTTAAAGATATTGTTATTCACATTCAATACTATATTTAACTACTATTCTAAAGAATTATATTATAAATTATATTATATAAATTATATTTAGGCCAATCAATACATAATTGCGTGTTTTAACTCTCGGGCAAAATTTTGTGTAACTTTTGCTAAAATTATGAAAATATTCACAAATAATGTAAACTCAATATGAAGGCAGTGATTATAACGAGTTAAGAATCAATTTAATTAAAAGCACAATATATAGACAAAATTAAAACGTTATCTAGAAAATAGATGGATAATAATGAACATTTGTACATGTACACATTTATTTCGATAAATCTTGTTATTGTCAAACCTCTGAATAATTTTTTGATAAATCTAAATGTAATATTTTGGCACAGATCAAATTGCATGCAGAAATGCAAACATGCAACGTAATATTTAACGACTTATTATGATTGATAAATGCAGTACATTATATGTAAAGATATGAAAATGAAATTTTAAAATTTTTATTACATTAATAATTCATAATAATTGGATTTTTTAAAATAACACACACAGCGATGTCATACGCTAAACACAATTAAGATTGATTATAAAATAATCTATAATTTTCTCAAATGTACTCTTAAGCAACAATAAAAATTTTTGTTAAATTTTATATTGCATTTCATTAAAAAAAAATTTCTTAATCTAAAATCAATTTATTAATTAAATATTGAAATAATTTCTGAATATAATAAATATAATTTAGTAGACAAGGAATAACATTGCAGTGTAAATAATTAAATATTCAGTAATTAAGTAAATTTTTACAATAAACAATGTTTACTAGACATTTGCCCAATAGTAAGGCATGTGTTAATTAATGCGCTATTAATTGTATGAATAGCGACGTGTGCTTAAAATTAACATTTATTTTAATAATTAAAATATTGTAAAATATTTTTTAAATTATTTGCTGTTATTTTCAAATTTTTAATTACATTTTATACTATT